ATATAAATTCTAATAAATTAATAAAAGAATTTTGAAGACATTAAAAGAAATATACAACTTAATAGATAATGAGTTTCAAAGATTGTTTCTTAAAAATAATGTATTAGAAAAAGATATATTTTCAATTTAATTTATCAAGAAAAGATATATTTTTAATTTAATTTTAATCTGGAAAATTACTTACAATTCTATTTTATTTTTGTTACAAATGTTATGATAGAATATTCATTATAATTTCAATAAACAATCACTTATAAATAATAAATATGAATATAATGTAGCATAACATAATTAATATCTTTATTTTATATTTGATTAAATTGTGCCATTATAAAGAATAAAAATAATCTATATATTTTAATATCATAAATTAAATAAATCTTTTTATTATTCGAAATGACAGAAAATTATTAATATTGGCGAAAATCATTTAATAAAAAATTGAATAGTTAAATAAGGTTTAAATATACGTATTAATAAGCTCTAAGAATATATCCAAGAAGTGAGATTATTTTTACAAATATTGATACAACAGTACAGATATGTATATCAATTTATAGATCTACTTCAGTTAAATAACGAAAACTTATAACCGATAATTAATAAGTTTTAGCTTTTAATACTAGTTGCTTTTTGTCGCCAAATTGATGAATTTAACTCTTTTTTTTTGTGGATTATATTATAATCTACGAAAAATATAAGAAGATATTTTTTTTGTATTCTTACAAATATCAATTTTAGATTTTAAAAATGCTAATTCTGAAAATATACACTTGGATTGGTCAAAATTCAAAATAACATTCCATTGTATATACCGGATTTTATAAAAACGAGCTTATAATTGAGATACGGAAAATCGTTTCATAATAATATTAACGTTGCCACAAAGAAGAATTTATGAAACATAATTAATTTTAATGTTGGATTCTATTTGTTGGATTAAAAAGTATGTAAATAGTACATAAGACAATTACGTATTGAAATGTATTTTGATTAGTTAATCTAAAAAAAATGCAAAATGTACTAAATCACCAAGTATTTAAGCCACTTCTTTACATTGTAGCACATTAAACAGTGCTCACTACCTCGGCTACATTAAGCAATCTGTATTTTATTGCAATCGCCACTAAAGAGGTATATAAGAAATAAAATGTAATATATATAAAACTCTCCATTATATATTTTATTTTTAGCCCATTCCGAGACAGTGGATCTATGAGATGTAACATATTATATATGATATAACTCTCGCATATTCATATTTTATTTCGTATATTTTATTTACGAGAATGAAAAATAAAAAATAATTTCGAACTCACCGATACACAAGATGCGCAATAACAATGTTGTGGTTTGCTGATCTCTTTAGCATTCGCATGTCCTTTTCATATTTTCTTTGCCTGGCATTTATATGACACTCACTCGCGAAAACGCGTTTAATTACGATCGCACGATACTTAAACGGCATTCCCGATATTAATCGAACGCGATATAGACTTTATTACATTGAAAGAACCACGCAAAATATCTCAAACGTGAAATATACCTATTATTATTAGACGGTAAATCTCCCACAGAATATAACCGTTATTTTAAATATTCTACGGATTACTTTAATGTATTGCGATTCATATGTTACCACGCTTTAATTCGATTTAAAATAGACGCGAAATATTTGCTTTGATACTTGATTGAATAGCGTCGTCTCAATATGCTTACGAGTCGCGGAAATTAACAATTGTGCAGATTAATTTTAATTATTTTAAATAACGAGATCGTATTTTTCGAGAGATACACAGATTGCTACTTACTCGCTTGAAGCTCGCCGCGTGAATGACGACGTGTACACGACGTCACGACGCGCCCGCGTGTATATAAATAACAGCGTCGCAAGGTGAAGGTCGAACGCAGTCGAATATTTTTGTTGCCGCTACGAGAAATATTTTACATACTATAATATAATAGATTGATGCAAAGTTCGTTTATGCGTGTAATATTCTCTCTCTTTTTAATTACTTGTATAGTTTTTACTTATTAATAAACGGTTAATGTATCACGACTTTCGTTACTTTGATTATTCGATTTTATAATTCGCGCGTATATTGCGCGCTCTCGCGAGTGAACGGTAAATTAGAATTAGTTTAAATCAACGAAATATTCAAAGCGGGATATGTACGAACGAAAGCATTGTTAAAGAAATATTTCTCGTCCGAAAAGATTGCAATAAAATACGCAGTTAGTTTCTATTTTCCCGGATTTCGTGTCGCTTGAATTCCTACTTGAAATACATATACATATAAATTGCGCAATTTGGTTTATCTGATTAATCTGGTTTAATAAATCGTCTCGATACGATCGCTTACGAAGTTGTTATTTTCATAAGAGATTATTAATCGCGCTAATGATAATCTTTAATCGTTCGTAGGGAATTATCGCGTTTGGCACTTTGTATTTCGAAAGATGCTACGACGAGATATACATAATTTTGTGCAGATTTAGGTATAATTTATCAATTATTATTTTTATATTGAGAGTGCGTTATAACACACAAATTACAGAATTGAATGAGGTTAGTAACGAGAAAAGAGTCGTGATACATTATCCGGTTATTAATTATTAATTTAATAGTAATTAATTAGAAAAGTCAAGCAAATAACACGCTATATGAAGATTGAATATATAATGTAATGATTTATCGGCTACGGAGTAATTTTGAACGCTACGTATCATTTAATACGTTACAAGATTCATGTGTGTGAAATATTTTATTCAGCAACTTTTCCAATTAATTATGAAACGCGATTATTTTTTCTGCAATTATTAGAATTAACGGTAGTTCGTGTTGTGCATGATTATTAATTATTCATTAATGTCGAGAATGCCATTTAAAGTGCCGCACGATTGTCGGATTAATTTGATGCGTGTGCCATCGTAACTAATCGCGTTTTCGTGAGTGAGTGTGTCATGAGTGCCAGACAAAGGACATTTTACGCAAAAAAGCAATAAGGGATGAATAAGAGAAAAGAATGAGGTTCAGTCGGGCAACGATAACCATAGAGTGAGTAAATTTATAATAAGTTATAATTTATTTAATTTATTATGCGTTATATATTTTTGCGAAATTAATTGACGTTAAAAAAAGCTACAGTATTTAAATTTTTTAAAATGCAAGTGTAAAAGATTTTTAAATTTATATATGCATGTATATAAGCAAGAATATTGCGTGAGTTGTGAACAGAATCCTTTTGGATTTTAATTATTAAAATCTGATTTTTTAAATTACAAAATATACATATCTTGAGGAATATAATTTTTATTTTTGACACATATTGTTGTTTTTTTTTTCGTGAAAATTTTAGATTATGATATTATTGTGTTATACATATATAGACATTTTTGCAGTTCTGTTTAGTATTACCAAATTTGAAATTTTTACTGCACAAATACTCCAAACTTTAATAATATTTGGCAATATTATACACATAATACATTTCGAAAATTGTGCAGAGAATGCGTTATTACTAACAAATATATTCGATATATTATGGCTTTTGTTTATACTTAAATCATTCGATTTGACAATTCGGACAAGAATACGTTGAAAATAAATTGCAATAATATTTTTATTGTACGAATTAATTATTTATTGACAAATGTATGTCATATTATAGATATATACACTATTTGGCGTTACAGTCATTTACAATTATTTGCAATAATATGAAATAGGAATACCATATCAAACATTTTAATATAAATGCCAAGGAAAACTTTGTTAAAATATACATAATAAAAGGATTTCTGACAAGTAGAAGTTCTTATTTGTGCAACGTAATGTTGTTTTCTTATCATAACGTAATTTATTCGATGATCTAAAAATTTCGTTGAGGTAAATGATTAATTAATCAAGTAATTAAATTTTTAAAAATATTTTTCTCTTACTTTAATTGACTCAAGAATAAAGTTATCGACCAGCGATCAATTTTCACTTGGCTTACTGTTAACAATCTTTTTATTATTATAGAAAACAATACATAGCAGATAAGTAGATTTTTATTGCAAATATACGTACGGCTAATATCGCTTTGTGTGCGATTTACATTCATGTACATATATTATACTCATGTTCCTGCACGTCTGTTTTTTTTACACGCTGAAGAATTTATCATAATTACTGTCCTGTGAAAACATCTTTTTAAATAATTATTATTATTGCTAAGTTGGTAATTAAGATTTATTATAGGGTAATATATCATGTCCCTATTCTCCAATAAATTATTTACAGGACAATAATTTAACGCATCTCTAAAAAGAATTGAGACTTTATTTTGCGATGATCTACAATAGCAATAGTAAACGGTCTAATGATAATTTAAATACCAATACAAAACGCGCAACTATTGTACTTGTATAAATAAATTATGACGTTCAATTCCTATTTACTCTGCAAGAAATAACCAAATTAAACCGATTGACACTAGCTATCTTTTGCAGAGTATGTACAATATTTGCTTCTCCTTTTCAGTCTATGCTGCCGATTTATAAAAGATTCCCCGCGCGATTAAGGCATTCGTTCGGTGGTGTGATTATTAAAAGTCTCGTGAGATTATTCAATAATATCTAACTAATCATCATTTTGCTTTCGACTAATATTCTTACTTTAAAATTCTATCTATATATGCGTAATCGCGCTATATATCGAATTATTAAATACAAATACAATTCGCATTCGATTCGATACAAACTAACGTGAATCGTGACATCATCGCGGACAATGAACCGTCTTGTATCGATGGTGAATTATTTGCAGGCAGTGTTTTAATTTTACTGTCCTTTCAGATCGAGCCTTCGCATCGGCTTGCTATGCCTAGAAGAGCGAGATAATGCTTCTTCCTAATTTTTTTATATCGTTTTGTAACGCTATTGCTAAGCTTGCATTTGAGTTTTATCACGTTAAGAGATTCCAGTGACGATTCTCGACATCGCAAAGACAATTTGTGCGATTTTAATAATACGATACATCTCGAAAATATATGTATGTACAGTTGCGTTAGAAATCTCTTTTTCTCGACGCATTAAAATATTCACAAAGAAATCCAGCATGTTCTAAAATACGAAAAAAAGAATTTTGTTTCTGTTTTTAAGAATATCGTAGAATACAGCTTGTAAAACTTTATGTGAGACATAATTACCGCGATACAACTAATTTCTCTCATTTAATTCGGCACACAATTCGAATTTCCTGCATTAGTGTTTCGCATATGTAATATAAAATAAACACAATAAGAGCGAGGAAAAGACTTATAAACGCGTGAGCGAGGAAATATTTATTTTCTATACCGTTAAAAAGTTATGGAAGAACTTGGAATAAATTTAAGTATTCCCGAGTTATAATCCTTTAGATGAATACTTTTTTTTTTACAAGATTATTGATTTTTGTTATTTGTTATATTTTTATAATTATATCATTCACGAGGTAACATGATTCTTTTTTGACACATTTAAAGAGTATATTATCGCTTGCGCTTTCTTCAATTGCTCATGTATGTGTATGTATTCTTAATCAATTAGATGTTTCAATCATTTTTTTCTCATACGCAAAGAAATATCTCATACACATAGAAAATACTCTTAATAAGAAACCTCTTATTGAGATCTTGAACAAGGTGGGATAAAACTCTCAAAGCAAATACTTCAAAGAGTCCCGTGTTGCCGTGCTGAGGCACACGGTGTTCCTAATTATCAACAGTTTGAAAATAAATAATGAACCACCAGGCCGCTACATATTAATTTAAACGAATAAAGTAGACGGATTTTATTATTTCAAAGATACGCGAACATATAAGTACTTAGTAACAGCATCTATTTTCGTTTTATCGAGAAATGTATCGCAAAATTTAACACATAAGTTTATGAAAAATTTGTCCTATTTATCATAGCTAGCATAGAGATTCACATATTATTAGAGAATATTTGAATATGTAACAAAAATTAAAATTGTACATAATATTTACAGTATCTAAAAAAAGACTTAACATCGTAAAATATATAAAATAAATTTATTTATGCAAATGTCATACGTATTTCTGAGATATGGAGGCACAAATATATTATTTAAATGGCGAATAAAAAGCAAAAAAAAAAAACAACAAGATTTCTAAAGAAAAAAGCTAATTTATAATAGAGAATTTTAAAATAGAGAATTTTAGTAATAAAGTATATCACTTTTTATACAAGTATGAATTGTCTCGCATCAGAGATGTGCGTAGCATTTTTAATTATAAATTGAAAGTTTAATTATATTTTACACATATTAAAATATAAAAACAGAGAAATCGGATTTTACTCAGAAAAATGATGTGTATGGCGGCGTCAGTTGGTTTCGTCAGAAGTTCCACTTTTTATCGTTTCGACGCTTTCTTTTTTTGGACAAAAAGCCTACTTCCCCCTAATGTCAGTGGAAGATAATTTCTTCTTATATACAAGAAGATTATATTCCGCTAACGCATAACGCTAAAACATGTACGGCATTGATTCCGTATTTCTCGTTTAAAGCAGAGATACTATTGCCGTTTCTTGGATATTCCGATTAATCTTTCGATAAATGTAGTTTTATACTAGTCTTCTATATATTTTCGTACTTAAAAATTTCTTAATTCTACAATTGTATTACGCTGGTGCAAAAGGATTATCACATCTGTCAAAGTTAAAAATGAAACTATTACAGAATCAAAGTTTAAAAACTGTTGTCACTTGCTTTAATATACTTTTTTTATATCAAAAGAAATTCTTCAATGATTTTCTTTTTAGAAAGCTCCGAATTTTTTATTTTATTTAATATAAAATTTAAAAAGAAATTGAGAAAAACTTTATGCAAATTTTTTTGCAAACCTTTTGCATCAGCTAATATTTTTCATATATTTTTCAATAATCCGAACAAAAGCCCATGGGCTTGTATTTTCCATTCAAATGCGTAGAAAGCCATATCATAATTAATTCAGGTTTGTCATAATTAAAATTACCAGACTTTCCATATTGTCTCATCTCCATTATGCTAAACAAAAGTAATGTAATTAAATCGCCTTATAATACCATCATTGGAACAAACTTCCTGGGATAACTTGTTCCTAGTTGCGATACAAGATTTTCTACAGAAAGCGTAAGAACATTGAATTAAATATATTTTTAATGAAAATGCAGGAACATTGTCATTATCGTGTGCGCATTCTCTTTGTTCGTTTATAGTATAAAACTCCGCGATATTAAAAGAGTGATTTCGGATATTTGCACTCTTTTCATGCATTTCTTTGTCGGACTTTTTTCATGAAGTATATATATTAACAATGTCTATGACGTGGATGTAAGGAATTATTGGTCGTATACCAATGAGCTCTTGAGCAAACAATTAGATGTTAAAATATATCTTCCTTTTCCATGAATTTTATTTTATATATTCGACACGCGATTTTACGTCATTTATAATCCGTGACTGTATCGCCAGGCCTGTTGCATTATAAGATGTTCAAAATAAAATAAAATTTCTTTCAGAAAGATACAGTTCTAAATTAATCAAGAACTGCTGAGAGAAGTACTGTGGATTTAGGATCTGTACTTTCAAACAATCATTTTATATTCTGAAAAATCGTAAAAAAAAAAGTTAGTCGTAGAAGGAAGATCAATTATACGCCTGAGCGCACCGTTTGTAGTATGAACACTCACGCGTTAATAATTAATCGCGGAGAACGAGGTAAATGCGGGCGCGGATGACGTTAACACTCGCAGAGCGCTCCGCCGTGATTAAACATCTCCATGTACATCGTCGAAAGCAGCGCGATTAGTATCCCCGTCGGTGCCGTAATTAATTTCCGTAATCGATCTTGTCGCGCGACGAAAACTAATCGCTGTGTGTCGACACACGCTTCACGTATGCTCTCGTTTCGGAGCGTGAAATTCGCGATTATTACGAGCTGATGAGAGCGCGGTGAGATCAAGCCTTCTTATGCGAATCGCGACGCGACAACGGCGCAATAGTACCCTGATTCGATAATATGATTCGCAATTAGTGTTTTACCGATTCTAGATCTCGAACGAGATCTGGCAGGCTCCTGAAGCGCGCGTACTCGAAATGATGCCGTCGACCGTATCGATGATATTGGCCCAGCCCGATCGTCGTAACGCGCGAAAATCTCCCTCGTGACAGCGAGGGTGCAGCGTTGTCCCGCGTATGTAGAGATGCAGACGACTGATATTGTGCCCATAACTGTTGGAGCATAGTCGGTTGCCGGCTTGCCGCCACGCTGTACTAACTGGCGTCGTCCGGAGATCCGTAATCCTCCGTCTGCGTGGCGGCATCTTTGGCTGGAAATCGCCATAGATATTTAATATCAGCAATTAACTGGATGAGAAGTGATTAGGAAAATGACTTGATTTTCGCAAATATAGGAAAATAAATCAATTATACGGTCTATTCTATACAGTTCTGTTAAGATATTTGTAAAATTTTTTGACATTATAGAGGAAAGTTTAATAAACCAAAGTATATAATATTTAAATTATTAAAGAATATCTTTTTGATGCATATGCACATATTTTCGTTAATAAAAAATTATTTGAAAATTAGTCAGAGTCTCTCATTTTAAATTTTAATGCGATGGCAACGGATCTCATATAATATAGAATAAAGGATAGCAGAACCGATAATGAATAATATAACAAAGGCATATATTTATGTGGCGCACCTCACGTGGATGCTACGTCGCCATGTGCCATGTGTCCGGTCTCCCAAGGGAGTGGTGGCGGCGTATTCGCTAATGATAACGAGGAACAACGCGCCATTGAGCATCGTTCCATCGAGCAACGCTCCAAACCTGAAAAGAAAAGTTTACGGATTTTGGAAAAAATGTTTACGTTAACATTAACGATCACACGTATTAACTATTAAATATAACTACTAATTACTTCCGCACAGCGTGAAATTCATCCGTTTACATTACATTCAACAGTAAATTTGAAAACAAGTATGTAATTACGAATTTACAACTAATTTGCTTTTTTATTTGGCTTCCGTATATTTTGTTTTGATTGGCCAATAATAAAATATCACAACATATTCCCCGATGCGGTTTTGTAATATTGTCAGGATATGAATCCGCAAAAATATTCCAAGATAAAATTTTCTTAAGAGAACATGATGTTTATTTTCTATATACATTTATGCTGATTAAAAAATAAAGTTTATTAGGAACTTTAAAATAATTTGTTTTATATAATGTACTATTCTTTCTTTTTTTCTACGCAGCTGAAGATTGAAAATACATCTCTTGCGATGTTCAAAATTAACGCGGTGATAAAAATTTAGTTGAATAATCTTATTAAAACTTCTTATCTTTATTTTTATTTTGATTTTGAAATAATTTTTTGGCTATAAAATTTTTGGCATCCCTGATCTTTTAACCAATCTATTTTCAATGTTAAATAATTCAAAAAGAATATGTTTGTATATATAAAAGAATACGCGGGAACAAAAATTAAATGATGGTAAAAAAACTATTGATAGTTTGTATGTTTCGTAGTATATAGATCAAAATGTGGAAAATGTTACAGCGTATTCAATAGCAGCAACTGTAAGTCTGTTATGTTACATGCTCTTTCAAGCATTGTTATGTTACATGCTCAGTTCGCATTTACGTGTGTGTGATGACATTGATTATTACTAGCGCTCGCATTAAATTTCCGTTTATGGATGTCACATAGAGCGCGAGAATGCAGTTAATTTTGATAATGGATGCTGTCAAAAGGCTGATTTGCCTCCGTTTAATTAATGCAAAATACTGATTACGTTAATCCCGTCGCTGTCGGTGTGAAATCATCAATGTAAACTGCAAACGGATTAAGTTTGTTATAATTAACACAATAGATGAATGCAAAGATGGAAATCATATATGGTTGAGATATATTATTTTTTATTTAGATTACATTTTTCTGTTAAAAAAAAATCATATATGTGTGTGAGAGTAAATTGTGAACTTATTTGGAAATTCTGGCTGCGTAAAGGCATTTCTGAATTCCAATATATACATTTCTGCCGTTCAAATACTAGTCTCTATTGAGCCTGTTCTGCATATCAATATATGCGAAATTTAACGTAGAGAGATGTTCCCGATTGACTGACTTCGCTTTTAATGCGATATGACATCTGTTTAGCATACCTGATAGATCGACACCGGCGATGCTGCAAACATCCAAGCCACCGGTGCTGGTCGCGCAGCAATGTTGCTTCGTTCCTAATGGCTTAGATCTGCACAGAATCTGCATATTAAAAAGAAAGTTAAACTTGTCCAAAGTATCAATCATAACGGTCACGTTGCATCGATGGTAGAAGAATGCCTGTCAGCTTGCAAACAATAAATCAATCCAAGTAGGGTCAGATTTTGTAAGCTTTATTGATTACCTGTGCGATGAAGTCAAGATTATTTCCCGTGAGAACGGGGTAATAAATAATCACGACATTATCTCGAGACCTTCCTGATAATCGAGTACAGTACCACTTTATATTCATACGCTCGCTTATCATATAAATGTAAAGTAGTTTTAATTGTGAGTGATGTGTATATCGGTACGCTTTCATAAACTTTGTGCGCATGTGATGCTCCGAAACAGAATACTTGGAATGCAACGTTGGTCCTCGAGGAATACAATTTGTCAGATATATATTTGTCTATTCAGACAGTTGTTATGAGGTAAAGAGTTGTTCTACCGCCAATAGAAATAAAATGTCAGTCATTTAACTCTAATGTCTATCAAAATAAGTATATTTTACTTAAAACTTACATTTAAACAATTACTCTCACAATTATGTTTTATTCAATATGTTACGGAATATAATATCTTTTTTCATAAATTCTGTTTACATTATAACTTCTTCTATAAGCGAAAGTGTTTTTACAAGTAACAATAAAATTCATAATAACCGTTGAAAAACATTTTTAATATTTTATTATGTCTAATTGACTATGCTAGTTGATTAATGCATATTTATAAGCATTTATATATATTATTAAATGAGTTATTAAATAACAAAGATGCATTTTGTCCCATTATTCCAAATACAGCGTAAAAAAATTTACGATATTTGCAATTCGTTTTGGAGTACATTCCTCACGTGAAATCGTCTTATATAAATTTCATGGGCAATATCTAAGCCAGTAAAAACCAAGATTCAAGCGCAATATCCGGCATATGATCCCCTGGGTACTCGCGCTGTTAAGAGCGTATTCGTATTTATGCAAAGTGATTCCCATAAGCCGGTTGATCCATCGCTTTATCAAAACGTTAACGCATACATAATATTATCATCTGCTATCAAAAAATTTAGTAGCTGTGTAAAAGTAAATTTTGAATTCGTCACAAATCTCTATAATTCATTTTATAACGTATATTCTTTGATATAATCATTTCCGTTATTAATGATAGATTCTTCGGAGAATTTAAATTTTATTTTTCTTAATTCGAAAATTTTGAGGCGCAAGATATTATTGTTTGTATTTTTTTTAATTGTATACGTTTTGAACATATTTTTAACAAAGTCTAATGCTGAATTCAAAAAAAATGTAACATGCAAAAAATTAATTAGCGTTTGACAATCAATTTCAAAACTGAAACTCGAATACGTGTTTAATTGCCACCTCGCAATTGCGCAATTCCAATAATCCGCCAATCGGTTTCTATTTTTCACAAAAACAGCGGGCAAACGTCTATTTCACTTGATACACCAGCAGTGGCAGCGTTTATCTCGTACAGATTCAAACTCGTTTATCGACTATCAATCGAATGGCGGCGCGAGCTAGTTGTAAAGGAATACCGAAAGCTCTATACGCGTACATTTTGCTCGCATGTAGCTTCACATCCGGCGAACATAGGAGAGAGGATGCCGCGGTGCACTTCACGCTGCGATTAAAGATTTACTGCATGCCGACGAGCTTTTCGGAATTCATGGCCTGTAAAGTCGAAACGCCAAGATCTATGTGGCCGGACTGAGCTATGTGTGCGCGACGTACGATCTTTTCCCCTCGTTCCTGCTATTCAGCGAAGAAGAAGGGACAGCCGACCGCGATGCTGGATTCGTCGTGGAGAGAACATTGGGCGCGTTGCGTAACGCGTTTTTTCACCGGATAAATCTTGTTTTCCCGACAGGTACCGTGTTTTCCGGTGGGGCCAAGAGGGATCATGTTAAGTCGTTCGTCTTCATTCGTTTGTCGGCGAGGAGAGTCGCCATCCTCTTCGAGAAATTTACTGATTCTGTACTAGCAACGCCGAGTGTACGATTGATTTCGCGGAATAAAGGGAGTGGAGCGTAAAATCGGAAG